CCTCATATGAGGGGATCGCGAATTTGAGGGGATCGCGAATTCTCCCTCATATGAGGGGATCGCGAATTTGAGGGGATCGCGAATTCTCCCTCATATGAAGGGATCGCGAATTTGAGAAGATCGCGAATTTGAGGGGATCGCGAATTTTAGGGGATCGCGAATTCTCCCTCATATGAGAGGATCGCGAATTTGAGGGGATCGCGAATTCTCCTTCATATGAGGGGATCGCGAATTTGAGGGGATCACGAATTCTCCCTCATATGAGGGGATCGCGAATTTGAGGGGATCGCGAATTCTCCCTCATATGAGGGGATCGCGAATTTTCTCTCATATGAGGGGATCGCGAATGTGAGGGGATCGCGAATTTGAGGGGATCGCGAATTCTCCCTCATATGAGAGGATCGCGAATTTGAGGGGATCGCGAATTCTCCCTCATATGAAGAAATCGCGAATATGAGGGGATCGCAAATTCTCCCTCATATGAGGGGATCGCGCATTTGAGGGGATCGCGAATTCTCTCTCATATGAGGGGATCGCGAATTTGAGGGGATCGCGAATTCTCCTTCATATGAGGGAATTGCGAATTCTCCCTCATATGAGGAATTCGCAAACTTGGGGGGATTGCGAATTCTCCCTCATATGAGGAATTCGCAAACTTGGGGGGATTGCGAATTCTCCCTCATATGAGGAAATCGCAAACTTGAGGGAATTGCGAATTCTCCCTCATATGAGGAATTCGCAAACTTGAGGGAATCGCGAATTCTCCCTCATATGAGGAATTCGCAAATTTGAGGGAATTGCGAATTCTTCCCTATATTAGTAATTCGCAAATTTGAGGGAATTGCGAATTCTTTTTCATATGACGAATTCGCAAATTTGAGGGAATTGCGAATTCTCCCTCATATGAGGAGTTCGGATTGCGAAATTGCGAATTCTTTCTTATATGAGAATTTCGCATTGCGAAAGTGCGAATTTTTTCTTATATGAGGATTTCGCATTGCGAAATTGCGAATATTCTTTCACATGAGGATTTTATTTTGCAAAAAAATGCAATTATTCTTTAATAAGATAATTTTATCTTGCAGAAATGCAATTATTTTCTCATAAGATGATTTTATCTTATAAAAAAGAATTTTCTTTTCAAGTAAAATGTTGGATCTTAAATAAATCGATTTTATCGGTAATAAGATGATGTTATTTTTTAAAGATGATTTTAACTTAATAATATGTTTGTATCTTATACGAGAGAATATTATCATAAAGTAGATGGTTTTATCTTAAATAAAATGAGTTTATCTTAAATAANATGCTTTTATCTTATACAAGATAATTTTGTTGTAAAGTAGATGTTTTTCTTAAATGAGATGAGTTTATCTTAAAAAGATTTAATTTTTTAAGAGATGATTTTATCTTAAAAATGATGATATCATCTTAAAGAAGATGTGTTTATCTTTTAAAAGGTGAGTTTAACGTAATAAGAGTATAGGAGGAAAAAGTAATTGCTTCTATTTTAGAATAAAAGATAAGAAAAGAAGAAAGAAGAAATATAGGTATAATATTAAGAAAATAAACAGTATAAAAATGTTTTTTTTTATTTATAAAAAAACCAAAACAATGATAACTGGAATAATAAATGTTTTGAATTGAATCCGAAGAAAATGAAAGCGCGCGCGTAGCGCGCGCTGTCTGCTAGTTCTATATTAAAAAAGGCATTTGGACCGAGAAGTGCGCGTTTAGAGTCGAATATATCGCACCTATTGTTAATGAAAAGCGATTTTGAGACAGTTCGTCGTATATGTAAAGAAAATTAAAAACGTAACTAAAGTAACGTGAAAGGAAAGAGAAAAACAACACGTAAAAATAACGTGACTGTAATTTTATATATAACATAATATTTATATATAATGTTATATATATTATATATAACATTAAATAATACATATTATACATATAATTTATTATATATTTATAATATTATACTTTATATTGTATTATATGTATTATATACATACTACAGTAATGTCACTGATTTCGGCCGCGCGGCCTTGGCGGGGCACTGACCTCGGCTGCGCGGCTTTGGTGGGAGTAGAGGTCACTGACCGCGGCCGCGTGGCCTTTGTGGGGGGAGGGGTCACTGACCGCGGCCGCGCGGCCTTGGCAGGGCACTGACCTTTGGCGCGCGGCCTTGGTGGGGGGAGGGGTCACTGACCGCGGCCGCGCGGCCTTGGCAGGCCACTGACCTCGGGCGCGCGGTTTTGGTGGGAGAAGGTCAATGACCTCGGTCGCGCGACTGCGGTAGAGTCATTGACCTCGGCCGCGCGACCGCGACGGTGTTATTGACTTCGGTCACGTGATTACGGTATATATATATATGCGTATGTGTGTGTATTATATATAGATATAGAATATTACATATAATATATATAATATTCTCTTTTTTACCCTTTTCCCTGTCACGCGACTTTAGTCACGTGTTGTTTTTCCACTTCTCTCTCTCACTATTTTTTGAGTTTGATTTTCATGCGTTATTTCTGACATTTCTCATACGTGTATTATATGGTTTATAAGACGTATATACTATCTGTCATCGCGGTGACAGCTTTGTTCACTGACAACACGTTAAATAAAAACAACAATAGCGTGCGCGTAGCGCGCGCCTGTGTTGTGCTAGTCAATAAAAAACGGGTATGAAATGATTCAATGAGTATTGCGAACGGCAAGTGAAACTTATCCAAGGCAATCCAAAGCCAATGTTCATGTGTATACACACTAACGATCCTTTAGACCGATATTTTACGGCATGTTATAGATATTAGATCGATATTATACGCTACATGCAATGTAGCGTTACAAACGCTTCGAAACTATATAATGTTCGTTCGCACTACCGCGCCCTTTTATCTGGAAAACACCTGCGGATATCTCTCTCGTCAAAGTTTACACTCCGTCCGTTCTGTTCTTTTATCTGTGGTTTTGGGTTGGTCTTTTCGGTTCTTTTTGCTCGTTGATTCATAAGCGGATGACGACTAACGGGTTTTTCGCTTTTATTTCGTTATTTTCTCGCTTATAAGTGCACACGAATGCGTTTACGTTTAAAGCATGCAGTATTCATAATTACAAGTGATACTGGACTCAATTAAAAAGTCTTTAGGTGAGTGCTGACACACGATTTGAAGAATGCACATTTGGGCGTTGACCGTTGACGCTGTACTTAACCCCATGAGAAAACCTTTGTTTTTAATAAACAAGACTAGTTAGTTATAAGAATAATTTATTTAATTTTTTAGTGTCAAGTGAGTGTAAAACTTGTGCTTTTTTTTTATGGAACCTATGTATGTGTTTGTGCGTTCTGTTTCAATTTTGAAAATACTTATTTCGAATTTGTGTGTGTACGCGCGTGTGTGTAGTTTCTTCAAGCAATCGTTTGAAGTAATATTCGTAAGATAAAAATACAATAGAGATGTATTAATATACATTGTTTTTTTTTTTAGGAAAAAATGGCTGTTCTGGTCCTCTTGTTATTTTTGGCTTTTGGAAATAGCCAATTTACCCAAGATACTACAGAATCCACTTCTAGACTTCCATGGAATCGTTATGATGATCGGGATCCTAATGCAGGCTATGGATTTCGAAATTCTTTAGGTCAAACTGATAATGTTATAATTAAAGATGCGTAAGTGGTATCAAAATATAATTGTAATGTTAAAACAAAATATACATAAAATTATATAAGTGGCATGACATTATATAAGTAAAATTGTAAACTTGATAGTTTTTAATTGTAATCTATATTTTTGCAGCACATACTTTATAGTTGCATCTCGTATGGTTAGGCCAGGCCAGATTTATCAAGTTGCTGTAAACATTCTTGACAGCCCATTACCTATGATAGTGCGCTCATCTATTCAACGCAATGGCGTAGAAATTGCGGCAGCTTATCAAGAAGTGAAAGAGGGTATACCGGAAACTCTAAAACTGCGTATGCCACCTACTTCTGTAAGTGGTGACTATAAACTACGTGTAGAGGGAACATACAATAATCTGAGAGGTGGCCAAGCTTTTCTGAATGAAACCAAATTAATATTTTCACAACGTTCCATGACCATTTTCATACAATTGGACAAACCTATGTACATGCAAGGCGATACAGTGCGATTTAGAACAATTCCAATAGACACAGGATTGAAGACATACAACAATCCTGTGGATATATTTATGTTGGATCCATACAGAAGAATTATGAGAAGATGGCTCAGTCAGCAAAGCAATCTTGGTACAGTATCACTATCATATCAATTGTCTGATCAACCGATCTTTGGAGAATGGATTGTGCAAGTAATAGCACAGAATCAAGTGGAAGAAAAAAAATTTCTAGTAGAAGAGTATTATCAAACGCGTTTTGAGGTCAATGTTACAATGCCAGCGTTTTTCTTTGACAACGATCCTTTTATCTATGGTATTGTTCAAGCGAATTACACTTCTGGCGCACCAGTGAAAGGCAATTTAACCTTGAAAGCCAGTTTCAAGCCATTAAGAAGAACACAAAATCCATCTGTGGAAGTTGAACCGGTTGAAAGATATTTTAACTTCAATGAATACTATCCGTCATGGTTTAGAGTACTTGATTGGTACGAAGAGAAAGTACCAGTGCTTAGATTTTTTAATGGAACATATCATTTCCAATATCCCATGAACGAATTACTGGGTTTTGTTCCGTCAGTTTCGTCCAGCGATGGAATAGAGATTACTGTGATTGCAACAGTTGGCGAAAGATTTTTGGACGAGGTGGTTGTCGGCTATTCTACGTCGAGAGTATTTAATTCTACCACGAAGATTCATTTTCTCGGCGGCAGTCCGCAGGTCTTCAAACCAGCGATGCCATTCACGCTAAATCTGGTCGCGTCCTTCCACGACAATTCGCCATTACGACTTACACAACTGAGAAACTCTATAATGGAGATCCGTGCGGATATTGAGATGCGAAACGGACGTCGTAATATTGACACACATGTTCTAAAAGCGTCACCGGAACATGAAGATGTGTGGTCCATAAAAATGGACCTGAGAAAAGAGCTCGGATTGGAGCGCGATGCTGATCGCGCCAAACAGGTTCTGAACGATATCACTTCTATGAGAATCTATGCGCATTTCATTGACGGCGAGGGTTCCAGGACGCAAACTGAATTGTTGCTGCTCGCTCACGAGTCTCCGAATATGAGGCACATCAAGATATCAACGTCCACCGAGAAGCCGAGAGTTGGCGAATACATGGTGTTCCATGTGCAAACTAACTATTACATTGAAATCTTTAATTACATTATAATGTCCAAAGGTACAATACTTCTGACTGGAGAAGAGAATATGCAACACGATATAAAAACCTTTGCGATTCCCCTAAGTCCTGAAATGGCTCCCGTTGCAACAGTGGTGGTCTATAAAGTTGGTCGTTACGGCGAGGTCGTGGCGGACTCGATGACATTCCCGGTGAACGGCATTTCTCGTAATAATTTCACCGTATTCATCAACAACAAAAAGGCGAGAACAGGTGAGCAAGTCGAAGTGGCTATTTACGGTGAACCCGGAGCCTACGTCGCGCTTTCAGGTATCGATCGTTCATTTTATACTATACAAGCGGGTAACGAGCTGTCGTACGCGAATGTAATTGCAAAAATGACTCACTTTGGCGAGGACACCAACGGTACTCACTTGCACACCTGGAAATACCACTCCGGTGATCCGGACGAAATTGTGTACTTCCCGTCGTCCACTTTCGGCATCGACGCCAATCGCACGTTTGAGTATATCGGACTGGTCGTTTTTACGGACGTTGCGATACACCGACGACCTGATATCTGCAACATTACTCAAGGATTCGGCGAGTGCTTAACCGGCCGTTGTTACAAACTGGAGAAAAGATGCGACGGTGTGTTCGACTGCGAGGACGGCACGGACGAAACGCGATGCGTCGAACAAAACGCCACCGATTTAGCAGAATTCCGCAAGTGGCGCTTTAACCGGATTCAGAGGCATTACGAGAACGTTTGGCTGTGGAAAGACATCAATATCGGTCCGCATGGACGACAGATATTTAATGTGAATGTACCGCGAAGACCGGTTCACTGGATGATCACTGCATTTAGTATATCGCCCAGCATCGGTTTTGGTATGTTGCCGAAGGCGTTGGAGTATACCGGAATTTTGCCGTTTTATATAAATGTGGAGATGCCGACTAACAGTAAACAAGGTGAACAGATTGGTATTCGTGTGTCTGTTTTTAATTATATGCGTTTTAACATCGAAGCGACAGTAGTATTGGCTGATTCCAAAGACTATAAGTTTGTCCATGTTGAGGACAAAGGCATCGTACAGTCGTATAAGCCGCGTACATCTTTCGGCGAGCATCAGTTCTTTATCTGGATACCTGCTCAGGATGCTAGCATCGTTTATCTGCCTATTGTGCCAGTTAGACTCGGTGACATTAAAGTTCACGTTTACGCGATGACTTTAATTGGCAGAGATTCGGTGATTCGCAATCTGCATGTCGAAGCCGACGGGATTCCGCAATATCGGCACCAATCTATTCTACTGGATCTCAGTAATCGTGCTTATTACTTCCAATATATGCACGTAAATATCACAGAAACACCGATTATACCTTATGACGAGAATCGTTACTACGTGTTCGGATCTAACAAGGCAACGATCAGCGTGGTCGGTGACGTGATTGGACCGATCTTCCCGACGATGCCGGTAAACGCGACGAGCCTCATGAATCTGCCAATGGATTGCGCTGAGCAAAATATGTTCAGCTTTGCCGTCAATATGTACACCACGTTGTTTATGCGTCAGATCAATCAACGCAATCGTACGCAAGAAAAGGAGAGCTTCTACTACATGAATATTGCTTATCAACGACAACTATCGTTTATGAATAAGGACGGATCTTTCAGTTTTTTCCGTGCTGATTGGAACCAATCAATGTCGAGCGTCTGGCTGACAGCGTTTTGCGCACGGATTCTCCGGGAGGCCAGTTTCTACGAGTGGGAAAGTTATCTGTACATCGATCCTGGAGTGATTACGCAGGCAGTTTCCTGGATATTGAAACACCAGACGCCAGAAGGCTCGTTCTACGAAGTGACCTGGTTACCGGATCGGAAAATGAACAGTTCCTTGAACTACGAAAACGACGAAATCACTCATCGAAACATCACTCTTACTGCTCACGTACTCATCACGCTGGAACGCGTAAAGGATCTTGCTCAGGCTGGTGGCCTGGGTTCTCAAGTGGCTTTGGCCGCGCTCAACGCAGTCAGATGGTTGGAGAGAAATCTAAAACTGTTAGAATTATATGGCAAGCCTTACGAAGTAGCGATAGTATCTTACGCGCTGTTGTTAGCACAATCCTCGAGTTCCGAGCATGCCTTCACCATTCTGACGACACACGTGAGAAAAGAGGGCGAATTCGCATATTGGGGCAGAGAGTATGTGCCACCTCCTCCGCAAAAGTACGAGAATCAGAGGCCTTTTTTGCTACCGCGCTTACCCTATAAGTATGACTCGGAAAACATAGAGACAACCGCGTACGCGCTACTCGTGCACGTTATCCGTCAGGAAAAAGCCGAACTCCTCGAACCGATAGTAAAGTGGTTGAACGCGCAAAGACTAACGGACGGCGGATGGGCCTCTACTCAGGACACCGTTTGGGCAATGAGCGCGCTGGCAGCTTACAGCGAAAAAACAAGATTCAGAGACGTCAGTTCACTCACGATAACTGTAGACGCTACCGCTTTACCGGGACAGACAAAAACGTTGTTTTTAAACAGGAACAATTGGGCGAGGCTTCAGACCATTGAGGTGCATATTTCGAGATATTTACATTTTGCGACAAAAAACATTAAAAACAATATTAAAATTATATACAACGATAAAAATCATATTTCTTCAGATACCAGAAGCATGGGGAACCGTAAAAGTGGATGCAAAAGGTGCGGGATACGCCATATTGCAGATGCACGTGCAATACAATGTAGATATAAAGAGATTCCAGACGGAACCACCAGTTAAAGCCTTCGATTTGATCACCAGAGCAAATTTCCATGGAAGAAATCAGTCTCACATCTCGTATCTTAGTTGTCAAAGGTAAGAGATTGTTGTAATGTTAATAGTCATTGTGTGTTTTGTATTTGTAAACTTCATGGTTCGCGTTTTGCACAGGTGGACAAACGTCGACGAATCCACGCGTTCTGGTATGGCTGTGTTAGATGTAACAATACCGACCGGATACATAATACAGCAACAGGTTCTGGACAGATACATTTTGTCGAAGCGAGTGAGAAATCTCCAGAGAGCGCGTTTTCTCGAGAAGAAAGTGCTCTTCTATTTTGATTATTTGGACAGCGAGGAGACATGCGTGAATTTCACGGTGGAACGCTGGTATCCGGTCGCAAATATGTCACGATATCTTCCCATTCGTGTTTACGATTACTATGCGCCAGGTACGTACAAACCGTATTACCTTTTATGTATGTCTTTTTTAATCGTTTGTGTGATTGAGATTTATCACTTCGTTTTTACGTGTTTCCAGAACGTTTCAACGAAACTATATTTGACGCACTGCCTACGTACACTCTAAACATATGCGAAGTTTGCGGCAGCTCACAATGTCCCTACTGCCCTATTTACAATACAGCTGCGCTTTTAACCACACCGGCAGGTATTGTGCTAATCACGTCGCTGGTTGTCACAATAACGAGGTATTTCCGAACGCAGCAAATTAGCGACGGCTAGCGATAATGTGAATAGCAAACAAATATTCAAGTTATTTTTCATTTTTTTTTTTTTTTTATTGATACGAATGGCGGCCTTTGCTAGTAAAGCACAAATACGCGGACGATAATCAAAACGCGATATGTTCGTGAATTTCGTTCTTTAAGATCTGAGAATTTAATTCAAAACTTTATAAATAAATAGATATAATTTTATACGTGTGTATGAACAAACTCATGCACATAAAACATATTGCGTGGAATAGTTTCATTGTGAATGAAATAATTTACGCTACGAGCAATTTATTTCCAAAGTGAGAACAAATATTTCTAACTAATAATTTCAAATGGTTTTGTCGTAATACTCGAGCTGACATCTACTTTGCTTTGTACGATTACCACATATAATTCAGAGTAGAGTGTATCTTATAATTAAACTTGTTTATAACTTTTTTAATATATTTTTTAATATATTTTTTGTATAAATTTTCATATGTTATCACACACAGACGATATTTTTGAAAAATTATGGCTACATTGTGTGCGTGTATGTGTGTATGTGTGTGTGCAGTGATGCGTAAGAACAGTTAATACTTTCTTATCTGCCCGCGAAGACTGTTGTATAATAGAAGAAAGACATGTTAATTTAGTTTGGACTGCAAAACGCACACAAAACTTACTACGATATATAAGATTGATGATCAAAAACAATTATCTTTCGTTTTTGATAAAATTTTTCACATTTCTATGATTACGTATATATATACATATATATATATGTATATATATATAATTTATTCTGTTTATTTAAATTTTAGAACACATGCAATTTTTTCTGTTTTTCTACACACAATTAGAGGGCATTTGTACTCTCGGAGACAAAGCATCTCAAGTACAAATCAGTGTAATAGTAGCCGACGCGAGCTCCGTCGGCCATACTATTAACCATCATCACCAAAACAATTACAAAAGTAACAAGTGTTCATAAAAATTAAACGAGTACATGCATAGAATGAGTATATTAAGTATTATTTTTATATTTAACTACTTATTGCTTCTTATTTGTTTAATCTTCTTTTTTTTTAATGAAGATTTTACTTATCTTAAATTCCGTCCCTTTTATTCGAGTTTTTCGTAATGAAGTTACCTGCAAATGACACTTTATATTGTTTACTATAATAATCGTGATTTTATTAGAAAACACACAAACCTTTCTGTTCTATTGTGTTATTTGAATTCTTTTCAGGAGATATTAAAAAGATGTTTCAAAAAGAGATATATTTAAACAAAACATAAATGATCAGCAAAATTTGTAAATAGTAGAGCATAAGAGTAGAGATCTGTAAAACCTGACTACCATTTCTGTTTGTTCAGATTCTTTGAATTTTAATCAAGTCCTAATGTTTCCGCAGACAGATGGGAGAGACAATTATAATTATAATGTTAATATACATTTATTTAATTTATTTAATTTATAAATTTATAATGTTAATATTAATTTATTTATTCAACTTATATTTTTTAAAGTAGAACGCAATTTTTTTTAACCTTGTTATTTCTAAGTGGCTAAATTTGATTTTAAAAAGTGGTGTAGATTATCTAATCACACACACACACTTTCATTTGGAATTATCGAGTCTTGTTTTTTTGATTTTACAATTTGCGGCTTGACTTCACAACTCGTGTTTTCTTCTCATTGCATCTGTCGGCGAAAACGTTTGAGACTTCATGACTGATTGCGAGAGGAAATGGAACAAAATTTAGAAGGTTCTAAAGATATTTCCGAACAACCAATAATATAAAAGACAAATATTCTAACTCGATTCAAAATCGAGTAAGTGACAGCGATGCCGTCCTGTTTTTATATGCACATGTATATTTGCGCGCATAAAACAAGTTTATCCTTACACAATTAGTATTTCAAAATATGTACGTTTACATGTATAAATATATATAAATAGAGATATATATGTTATAAACGAAAAATGATATATTATAAGAATTATTCAATGTCAAAGATCTATTTTGATTACATAGATAGCACGTAATACATATGTATAATGATTTACAAGTTTATACATACGTAGAAGACGTTTTAGTTGTATAAGTTTTATTATACATAGTTGTAGTTGTTAATGTAAACAATGTGTAACTGTCACGATTGCTTTAAGGATCTGTCTTGGAATTTGAACGTCATTGTCGCAATCCGCGAATGGCGAGCCTTCGTTTTTAAAATTCTTTATTATATTCACTATAATTCTTTATTATACGCTATATAATAGCACCTATCGATAATGAATCCTTAAAATGCACTCGTGTACATATACGCAAACACATTTGTCAAGATACCGTCCATGAAACTTGTGTGCTTTTTTTTAATACGATTAATAATATAAGTCAATCTATAATGCGACTTGTTTAGATATTAACAAAATTTACATTTATTATGAATTATACAATTTTTAATTTTGTAATCTTTATACAATTAACACACAATAAAAACGTTTCAGATACCATATAACGCAATTTCAGAATTTTTAATTCTTTTTACTTATAGGAGAAAACTACTATATAGTCTTTGTTCGACACGTTTATACCATCATAAAATATTACATATTCTTGATATTTCTCAGGAAGGATGAGAATTATGGATCGTGTTTTGGATATAAACAGAAGAAGAAGAAGAAGATATAAATTAAGTTTCGTCGCCCTGGTTTTGAAGCAATCTTTAATATAGCAACATAGTCAGTCTTACAATATAAGCCAAAAATACAATCTACATATATATATCAAGCTTATAACGGGGAACGGGCAAAAATTTTCTTTCCCTTTAGTCGTTAGATTCTTCGACGAAACTATAATCCAAGAGAAAGTTTCATAGTCGAAAAAAGCGCACTGCTACACTCGGATCTATCTCTTGACAAAATTTTATACAATCATAAAACATCACGTTCGCAAGATTTATTAGATTCTTGTCTCATCGGTTCGTGTAAATAAGACGCGCGCACGTGCTTATAATTTTTTTTCCTCTCTCTCTCTCCTCTCTCTCTCACTCACACTCACACTCGCTTTCTTTCTCTCCCTTTCCTTTTCTCGTTCTCTCGCTCTATCAACGGAATGGTTATCGGTTATAGCCTTGAGATAATTCTTTCGCGAAACCATGCTTCGAACGATGATAAATTAGTCGCTGGAGTTCGGAAACGGATTTCTCCGTACTCTGTTTTGTTTTTACACCACAACTGCAGATAATCTCTCTCACGTACATTTGGATCGTTAACTCTCATTGAACTTTTAAACAAGAATAAACAGGTTAAAGTATATGTTGTAGAATTAAAATAAATATGTGTAAATAAATATTTATTTTAATTTTACATCGCAGAGCTTAAAGTTTTCTTGTTTCTTTTTTCTTTTTAATGTAAATTGTTACAGAGAAAATGGAATGTTTTAACCCTTATCCGGGGCCTTCAACATACATTTATTATACGTAGTCTTATATCAGGGTGTTTTGTGTACAAGTTGCATGTATCAGCTTCTATTTCATCCTATTTGTGTATTGGTCTCTGTTTGGTCTTATGTATTTCTAGGACTGAGCCAAGTTTATTTATTATCGAACATTTTGTTTTATACACGTAGTGTACATAATTTGTTTTTTTTTTACGCGCAGATTGTCTTATATTGTTTAAAAAATGAATTTGATTCTTTAGATTTGCTCTGTGTGCGAAGGCAATTCAAGCAATTCAAGATGAAAATATTTCACGCGAATAAAAAAGGACGCGGACACAGTAAATATGCAAATATTTTGACAAAATGTCTGCGAAGAGTTCGCGATTACAACTATACACAAAGTTAAGAACATTTCCACGAACATTATTACTATTATTCGCGGATTTTTTACCGCTTTTCTTTCTCCCTAAAATTGAGACACTTTTTTTTTCTAAAAGTGACGTTAATAGCGTTTTGCATTTATAAGATGCACTTCTTGACTACGACTACAAAGGGAAGATTCCTTTTTCACTCGCTTGGGTTCATTTTAGATAAAAATTTCCGCGAAACTCGCATTAATAATCGAAAATAATGATAAGTTTTTGTTGCTCTCGGTTTTTCATTGTCAAAAACAGTTAAAAGTATCTATTATTATTTTTTTTTTTCGGCAAAAAAGAAACCGCAAGTGAGAATATATTAATATCTGCGGTAAAATCTGTACTTGCATTTGAAGCACGACTGTTCATAGTTTACACTACGAAATAATATTTTCATATATCATCTAAAACAACTTATGTTGTTTTAGATTCTCGCGTAAGCAACTGGATTCTTGTTTTGACACACATTTGTGTGCTTCGGACCTAAACAAAACATTCAGGGCAGAAGAAAAACGATTTCGATACAAATATATAGATTATATTATATAATAGAATAGAGTTATTTGATGAAACATTTAAAGCCTTACAATAAAATATACAGTATGATGTATGTCATCGTATTTGTGTGATATTCGTGTGTCGTGTACGATACGGTTATTTTGTGTGTCGGGTGTGTTTCGTTATATATGATTAAAAAAGATGTCTCAAAATATGCAACACATTTACCATGTTTTTCATATTTTTTGTTTTTTTGTTTTTTTTATCTTTTCAAAGTGATACGTTTTCTTGATAAGTAAGATAGCATTATGTACTTTTGGACCGAGAGATTCGATACGGCAGTTAATTTGTTAACGCTTTCGTAATATTGGGATTCGCGTCCGCAGGATATCGATACATAACAGACTTTCTCAGTCTATCTTTTTTTTTTCATTTCGCATAATAATTTGTGGTATATATATAATATATATATATGTATGTATATATATATTGATATTAGTATACAGAAGCTGGTATCAAAGTCTAACGAAGTCGACTACATCAAAATTGTTCCAACGTTCCAGAGATATGCATATTTTGATCTGTATCAGCGGGCTTCTTATAAGCGAGCTGCGTTCCGTCGAGGAAACCTATCCTCAAGAGAAATCTCTTAAGTTTTTCTATTTCTCATTCCTTCGAAAATCTATTGAGATCTTTTTCTTTTGTTCATGTAATTGTCATAAATTGTTTTTTTTTTCTTACAACAGATCGTCATTAATAAATTATAACGCGTTTTTTGCTGTTGTATGTAAATAGAAATAATAATACAATCGACAATATGACACACAATCGGGAAAATAATATTAAAAGATACAAAAGTTTGAGAAAAAGAGATCGCAATACAGACACAACTTGCTAAGATCGCAGTCACGCAGCACATTCAATATTTAAGCGCAACATAAAACATAATTTTGAGTGTATGACAATGAAAATATGAGACCTCGCATATTTCATCTTTAAAACTAATCGTGTGCATTTATCGATGCAACATTATCTCACAAGTATGTTTATAAAGTTGTATCAAAATAATATCGATGTCACTTGAAACATTTAAAGCGCATTATCGATTCGTACATATTATATTTGTGAACAAAAAAAAACAATAAAACATATATCTTATATAAGTATGCCCAGCAAATACAGATTTGTAACACGATCGAGATGTGTATACGTATACATATCGATATAGATATACAGGGTGTCCCAGAATTGGTGTAACATCTCTCGTGAACAAATAGAAGGAGTAAAACTGAGTCAAAAAGTTTTATACCATTTTGCTAGATTCGCAATAGTTACCGAGATCTTAATTAACAAAGATCAGCGAATAAGCATGCATCGGGCTGTCTTACTCGCTTAAGACAGCCCAGTGCGCTTCGCGCGCTTACGGTGTTATTCGCAGCAGCATATGGGAGGAGCTAATATAACAGTATATATTATAACATATACATATTAAAATGTAATTGTGCGAAGCGCGCCTGGCTGTCCTACGCGCGTAAGACAGCCCGATGCACGCTTATTCGTGGATCTTTGTTAATTAAGATTTCGGTAACTATTGCGAATCTAACAAAATGGTACAGGACTTATCGACTCAGTTTTACTCCTTCTACCTGTCTACGAGAGATGTTACACCAATTCTGGGACACCCTGTATATGTATGTATAATATATAATAAAAAGCAAGCTTTTGCATGATTCTATTGCTTCGGTGATCATAGCTACATGTTGTGCATATAGTAATTGCACAGTTACTATAAGCGACTATTAACGACTATTAGAGTATAAAAAAGAAAGTTTGCAATTATATTTAAAAGAACCTGTAACATCTGTTAATCTCACGTAGTACTCGTAAAAAAATGTGATATATATTCTCTGTGCTTGCTGGTCATACTTTCTGGCCTTTTTTTTTTTTTTTATTAAAACTGATCCTAAATTTTTAGAAATAATAATAAGGCAACATTTGCTAAGATAATTCTTTTCAGAACTCTTCTGTGTTAAATAATATAATTCTACTAGGCTTATTATAATTCCAAGCCATAATTAGTCAGTCTAATTAGAATTTTCGATTAATTATAGTTCGCGTGTGTTATATATTCAGTAATTCTTTTATATATAATATATATTCAGATTAGATATAAAATCTCTCATTGTTTATCCAAAAATCTTAGCATGTGGTAAACATTAACAAATGCATTTATTAAATATTTTGGCATTATTTATATATATACACACGCACATATATTCATATTACATGTATAAATGTATATTTATACATATAATTTTATATTATATGTATGTACGTGTATATATGTATATATATATGTATATATATATATTAGATCTCGCAACTTAGGCAAAAGATTAAAATATTTAGAAAACATCTCATATTGATGCGTTAATGTAAAAAGTAATACATATGATATGATGCAAGAGACAAAGTCCTAAATGTAAAATTACACCCGCAGTAAATTTCAAATAATTCCGCTTGAATGCTTTAAATATTTCACTTTCTTCCACTTTCGAATTTTTGCGTAGAAAAAACCTCCGAAGTCAATAATTAATCTTATATAAAATTACGAAGTATATAAGAAAAATAGCATAAAAATTGTGTAAATTTCAGCAAAATGTTCCCCGTGTAAATACATGTCGTAAATATGTGTACTAAATATTACTCTTAACTTTCACGCTTATTGTTATAAAATGTAAAAGGCTGTATTTTATCGTGACAAAAGCATCACGATGAATAATAAAGAGGTGGTGTAAAAATATTTTCGCGATACATAAGATTTATATTTACGAAAGTAATGTAACTCTACTGTACTTGGCTTTTTTCTGAAGAAAACTTGGCTTTTAGAGTGCAAAATATGATTATTTTATATCTCATAAATTACAAATGGAGGTAATATATTATATTAGTGTGTGTAAGAGAATGCATTAATATATGTATATGTAGTATATATCGAACGCGTGTATAGTAGTAGCAACAGTATTTTACACAAACAGACGTAATTAAGTAAAGCGATGTTAGATAAAATTGTTATTGTTTTCTGCTTCTTTTTATCTTTTTCTTTTGTTTTTTTTTTTTTAATTCGTTTGTCTTATAAATACTGAAACATTGACATATTATTTTTTAAAATGCGATAACAATAATACAAAAAAAGCCAAGCTATATCTAGTGATCTTCTGACATTCAACAGTTGTTCACTTATCTACTCGCAAAATTAATCTGTTGATTTATGTGAAAATATGAGCATACATTGTTTTTATATTTCGTAAACTATTGTGGACCGCATTGAGATTGTTACTTGTATATTGTGGATTTGGTTGTCTTTCTCTCTCTTTCTCTCTCTCGTCCTTAGTATATAATATGGATGATTCTCTCTTATTCGAATTCTCGCATAAAAAACTATCAATCTCAACGCAAATGTGTGAGGAAAATACACGACACGTAATGGATGACAAATGGTGAAGAAAAAAACGTCCGTTTGGACGTTAAAAAAAATTATTAGTGCGCATATTTTGCTGTGCGAACGATTGATCGCTCAATCAAAAACGTATATATAACGTGTTATTTGTTGTTAAAAGTAACATACATATCTCACAGATAATCACTCGATTTCTCTACCTTGCTATTATTTAATCGATCGTGTGATATGAACTGTGGTTTCTCTCTCGCGTTATGTAGATTGCCCGCATATAAGGTTTGCGATACCGCTCGTGAATTATTCAAGTATTCGAATTCGATATATTTCGTTCTCTTGGACAATAGCAATGGATCTCTCAGCAATAGTACTTTCCTGATATCCAATTTTTTTTTTTTTTTATGTTTATGATTAGCAATTTTTTGTTTCAGATATTTAATTACTACCGTTAATTCAGCTAGATTCCTTTTCTTTCGAATCTGAAACACACAAAAAATACGAGCAAATTTTTAGACGTGTGATTCCTTATTTTAATTTGCAAGAGATCGCATTTAGTAACATGATCAGAAGTGCAATAGCGTTTTCTGAAAGTTCGCTAAATCTCACTTATACTTACCGCTATCAGACTTGTCTTCTGAAGTGCCGTTTGTCAATTCGGGCTCCTTTTTCTTCTCTCCCTCCTCCGATTCTACGCTAGACGCCTTTTTCTCCTCTTGATTCGCAGTTTTCTTGTCTTTCGCTTTGCCCTTAGCCGGCGTGGCTGGTTTAGGCTTCGGCTCCAGACTCGGATCCAACACGATCTTACCGATGTTCTTGCGATCGTGCATTTTTTGCATAGCTTCGGGTACATCCTCCAACGCCCATGTCGAGTCCACCACCGGCTTGATTTTGCCCTCGTTCCACAATGTGTACACTTGATTCACCGCTCGTCGCACGAATTCGTGACTGCCGTGTTGGTACATCAAATGGCGTAGATTGAATCCCGATAACGTTTTGTTCTCGTCAAACAGCTTTATAGGCGACACTTTATCGACTTGCCACCACTAAACAAAAAAGTAAAACATTTGTTTGCGATTTTTTGTTTTGTTATTTTGCGGCAGGAATGTCATTTAACTAAGAACGAAAACCAACTTTTGAAAAGATTTTTGAAGAAATCAAACAAAATATCAAAACAACAAAAATATTGGCATTAGAAAACTATATATAAACATTTTTATTATATACAAAATACTTCTTAATTGAATCTTAACAATATGTGTGTGTTTAGAAATAATATTTAACATCGAATTACGTACTGCTCGTGCCGCAGAGAAGAAACTCTTGGTTTCTCCGGTGACGACATTGCTGGATCCATAAAGTATGTACTTGCCCATTGGCTTCAAGAGGGCGTAGCCTTTGTTACACTCTTCGCCACATAAACAGTCTAAGACAATATCCACGCCTTCCGGTGAAATTCTAAGCAGTCAGGAAACGGTGTTTACCAAAAACCAAAAAACTCTTTTCAGAGGCTTTTTATAATAAAAATAATTTTACTTTTCTAAGTGATAAAGATATCTTATAAGAAGCCACAGAGACAAAAGAATTTAATCAAGCACGACTATTGCTTACGTACTTTCTGACTTCGTTACTATAATCTGTTCCTCGTTCCAGAAGGTAATCGATAGTTCCGGCGTTTTTTAATGCCTCATGCTTGGATTTGCTGCAAACGCCGAAGATGGTCACATCTTTGACAGTTTTCGCGAGCTGAACCACCGCTTGACCCTGAATTTCGAGAAATAATCCTTTTTATTGATACAATCGACGTGTCAGACATTTAACAATAAATAATCGAAAGAGTTATTCAAAGTTACATGAAAAAAAAAAAAAAAACACAAAGTACAATGACGTCAGTTGTGTTTGCAATTGATGATCCGTTAAGCTAAAAAGATCATACGTTCGATAACTGCGTTTTTTCTCTAATTGTTTCTTTTCGCATTTACTTTCTGCTGAGGCAATTACGCATTGAATTCGTGGTTGGACGGACGGGTTTCGTAACGCCACGCTTTAGAGAAAGGGATAAGATGAGGATTAAGAAAAACCTGCGCTGCCGCTTGAGATTTTCAACACAGAAGCGGCATACATTATTTCCGAGAACCGCGCTCGTTACTTTCCATTTCTCTCCGTCCCTGGTCGAGAATTCGATACTCGACGACTGATGCCGGACCGAGTGTTCCAGAGAGTTAAAATGAAAAAACGAGCAGAAATGGAAAAAAACGAGAGAGATGAGGAGAAGCAAGAGAGAGGAGCGTAGGAAGACAAAGAGGAATAAAGACGGAATATAGACGATTCAGAATTCAAGCAACCCGTAACAAATTGTACAATCGTAAGAAAGATATGAAAATGGAGTATTTAGAAAATATAAACATTTATTGCACGTATATAACATTTGATTTATCAAAAGTAGGTACACATTTATGTAATACAAATATCTAAAAGTTTTTTTTTTTATGACATACCAGTTATAAAACTTTAACTCGAAGCTAAATGGGTGTTCGAGTAGTGACATTAAAGTTGTAATGTAACATTACTCAATTTTTGCGACTTTCATCTGTCTCGTCTGTGGCTTAAGGACGAGATTTCATGCCGTTGATCGGCGCAGGGATAATAACTCATGCTCCGCGACAACAATGAGTTCCGCGCGGCTAAGAAAAAATGCGACCGCAGCGAAAAATAGACACTTTTGTGTGCAATTCCCCACGCATTAAGCCGATCACGTAAAGCAGAAAAGCTCCCGACAAGAGAAAAGCACTCAGCTCATGAAAAATACTACTTTCTGATCACGTCGGAGAACTTTTTTTTCTTTTTCACTGAATCTTGCAGACGGATTATGTTATATCTTTCTTTCTTTCTTTCTTTCTCTTTCTCTCTTGCCGTCTTTTTTGATCTTCTTTACGTCTCAAAAGAGAAGCTTTTACATCTCTGACGGTCGCGAGACGACCGGTCAATTTTAATCGATTTTTGACAAACGTTATTTTATCGATTTCTCATTATCTATTTTTGATTGTGTAATGTATGCGTTTATTTCATGTTTTTATATTATCATCTTTATATTTTTACTTTGAAGTTTATTCATAAAGTATCAATATAATTGTGTCTTAGTTGAAGAGAACCGAAGTCAAGGTCAAAACGTCCCGTCTTGTGTTACACACGTGTACATTAATTAAATTTATGAGGAAAATTCGAATCTTGACTGTTGCGAAAGTTGACATTACAATTAAAGCATGCCTCATAAAATAGCGGCACAGAGTCTATCGATCGCGTATTTGTATCTGTGTACACGTGGCACGCAGAGTGTGCATCGGACACGGTGTGAACGGAACTTGAAGCCTGCGCCACGTGGTGGTAATATGCCTGGATGGTGATGGTAGTGGCGGTAGCGCGACGATGGTTGGTATAGTCTCAGACGGGCGCGGTCCATGACGGTGGTCGATGAGAGCGAAAGGTTGCCTAGCAACCCTCACACCCCCGTGTGATTCCCGCGCTATAGCATCAACCCCGTAGATTCGCTTTTCGTCTCAACCGCGCGGGTGGAAAGCGACTGACGACTGGAGGTGGTGGTGGTGTTCGCCACCAGTGGAGTTGGCTTCGGGTGTAACCTGTTGAGTCGTATTGATCTAGACGGTCGTATTCTCTTCTTTTTCTTCCTCTGCTTCTGCTCTTTCTCGCGAGAACCACTTGAAAGAGAAATCACTCCACGTGGTTGCAAAAAAACCTCCCGAAGATATCTTTTCTTGGCGATTTTAACATTTGCTAGTCCTCCCTCCAGTACCCTTGCCGTCTCGTGAACGACTATTCCATCGCTGTCCATTTATTCGAGAAACGTCAGCGTGTTCATACCCCGCGCGATATTTAACATTTCCGCACCGTGATGGATAGGATTTTGATCGGTCTTCGGAGCGAGAAAAAGGAGGAGTAGATAAACAAGCACGACCAGTTTTATTTCGTTGAAGAAAGAGAACTTTTGTGCGAAGGATTTTATTTTTATATAACGAAAGAGAGAGGAGGAAGAGGAGTATTTAAATATTTATTTAAAGTATGAAATTTCATAAGTGCTGTACAGGCTGCAATCATCTTTAAACTGTTTCATATTTGTGTGTCGCAACAGCCAAATTCTTTTTTTTCTCGTACTATTAGCTTTACGAAAATGTAAATGCTTTTATATAAACAATCTCATAAAATTCTAACACACAATATATAATTGTTATATGTATACACAGACAATATATAATTGTTATATGTATACACAGACATATATACATATTTTATGTACAGAATACATTATGATAAAAAAATCAAATCATTCTTGCTAAAATTCCTTTTCGCAAGATTTAACGTTAACGCTTTATACTATTTGTCATTTATATTGTTTACGCAAATGATAAATTGTTGAAAATTTAAATCCATTATTGTGCCGATATTGTGCCATGAAATTTAATACAACTGCGTGCACAATAAATATTAAATAATTTATGGAAAAAATAAGACAATATGTGCATTTACTATCACGTAATGATTTCAATATTCGCATTATTACTCAAACAAATAAAATTGTTATGGTAACAAACCTTCAATAAATCGAGCATGAATATGACAATGTTATTTTTAATATTGAAACTAAAAAATTTAAAGAGAGGAATGCAAATAAAAAAAATACAACGCATTATATAATACATAGATAAGCGTATCGTGCTATCGAGTTTCTTGTGATACACAAGATGGTCGAAAAGAGGGATGTAATAAAGTTCAGTTTATCACGAGTTTATCTGAGATCAATTTCTTCGCGGCCGGGTTTCGACGAAATACAAGAATACAAAAGAAAAATGCGCCAACTTACCACACCGCCGCCGGCGCTATGAAGCAGCAGGCTTTTGCCGGGCGTGAGATGAGCCATTTCAAACAGTAGGATATAAGCCACGGTGTAGTTCATGGTGATGGCGGCCGCGTCGAGGTAGCTCATTCCAGACGGTAACGCGAAAACGGATGTTGCCGGCACGGCAACGAGCTCCGCCCACGCTTTGTGATCCGGAAGAGCGATTACTCTATCGCCCACCTGTTAAAAAACAAAAACCAAATCCTCGTTCCGTCTCATTCGTAATAAATGTTTTATTACAAATGCTCTGACTTTTCTCTACAGATGTACGTGTGTGCGATAGTATTTCAAAATTTGAAAATTTATCTTCTGTCTCGTGTTATAGTCTTTGCATCCTATTATCGCGGATCACTTGATATATAAACCATTTAGCAATTTATCTTTTCTCTTTCGTCTTGTGATCTCATATTTACTAAAGTTTCGCGTACTTACTTTGAAGTTCTCAACTCCCTCGCCGACTTGCTCGATATCACCCGCGCATTCCGAACCCATGATGAACGGAGTTTTCGGTGGCGAATCGATCGCACCTTGTCTAGCCATCAAATCCTGGAAGTTCAATCCGCTACAAGAGACAGACAAAAACGTTTTGTTATAAGTATGTACGAATTTTTACAGTGCAAAATTTTCTTTCATTATGAACAACACTATTTCATTAAATTTATAGAAGATATCCCACACGTGTGTTGGATATGAGAGATAAGATATAATTATGTGTTTATATTTTTATTTGTCTTTCTATGTACAGAATGTGAGATGTTAATTATTAAAATTAACATGAGAGAAAAATTGTCAAAAAAAACGCAGTAACGAAGAACGTTTTCGACATCTTTCATTCCAAAAGAGAGTGGCAGTTTTTAAAATACAAAGATTTAAAACTGCGTGTCGAAGCGCAAGCTGCGCTCCTTGGAGTTTCTGAATTAGACAAATTTTTTTGACGATTTACGTGTACATCGTGCACGGCGTATATATAAAACGCGCGCACGTGTTCGAAGTGGTGCTTCGACGTGGTCGAAGGGAGCTGAAATAAAAGCGTTTCATGGCACATGGTTCTCGCTCGCGGCTCGCATAAATACATGTGTAGTTATACCTCCGGCCGGTCCCTACTGCGAGCCGACTAACAGGAGGATATGAAGGCGAAGGCGCCGCGACGCCTAGACCAATGTCTGGCGTCGCACGCAACGCTGGGGTGGCGCGTCGCAGTGTTACTCATCGACATCGGGAAATATTTACTGTCGCGTCTTTCCAGACCAAAAAAGTTCGCGGCATTCGTGCGCTTCGACGGAAATCGCAGCCGAATCGATTTAGAGGGCAATTTGCATGTCGCCGTTATTATTTGGTATCAGTGCCCTTTTACAAGATTACGTCAAAAGAAATTATTTTTGTCTTTTCTTTATTTTTTAAATAATGTTTTTGCTTGAAAAGAAACGAAAACTAATTGCACAAGAACGAGAATAGACGAAATTGCAAACCATCAAAACTCTGACGTGAGTTTTAAAAGCTCTTGGAGAATCGTCTTTATAAAGCTGATAAATCGTTTACTTTCAACCGGTCGACCGTGTACCGGTTTTGCTGTACTGCGGTCGCACTGGCGTCTTCCCGCAAAAATACGTCGCGCGTATTGTTATCAGCTCTCGCGCGATATACTATGTAATTTTCTGAAGTATCCGGCAACGTGAATCACTACGAACTCGATGAAATTTTGTCCAAGGTTGGCGAACGCACATCGGAAATGCGCAGCACTTGTCAGCTAATTATCATATCGCGCTAATTTTTTGTTACACTTCAGTTAAACGCTCTTTCCTCTTTTCACTCACACGCATATTTACGTTGCGCGTTTGAACTAATTATTAAAACAAAACAGAATACGAGAAAAAGCTTTGAATGAACCGTGTAAAAAAAAATCCTAATCCCTCAATACCCACACAGGTTTTTTTACTATCTTACGATAATTTAGTCGTGGGAACCGGTGAGTGAGATCTTACTGAAGATCCTGAAAAGGAACACAAGGACAAGAAGTTTGGAGCAAAGCGAAGAAATGCGGCCTTTCGCAGGCCGCGATCGCTTAATTCCTCTAAATTGCATCGAATTGAGGAGAATAATTTTCTCCATTCTTGGCAAACGGGCAATTGAAACGAATGGAATGACCGGACTTGACGATGACATGCAACCCGAGGGTCACACACAAAGCCGCACGAAGCCGACACGCACGTTGCACGGTTTCCGATTGACCGTACGAGATGAGAGAAAGTTGAAATTAATCGGCTTTTTGTGCAACGACAAAAAAAAAAAAAAAAAGAAAGATGTCTCAGAAATTGTTGGAAGCTAGTTTAGTCTCATTTTGTTTCCTTAATATAACCTAAGTCTCAAACTCGCGCCCGTGTAGCCCCATATATTCGTGTGATATATACATTTAATCGTTAAAGGGTAACTTTGCCGGCTAAATGCACTTCGTATTATGGAACGTTCGGGGGTAGGAGAACCGACATAACTCTTTAGCCGCACGCTCCCACTATTACCACCACCCAGCTTCTGTTCGTGTGTGTTATATACACATCAATCGATCGTCCGAGAAGACATCAAGGCGCCTGCAAAGCTATAACTGTGCGCTATAAGAGAAATCAAATGTACGAATCTCGCGTGACTGGGAATCAGCGATGCGTTCACCGAGCGAAAAGGAGCGCGTCCGTGTATCTCCGAATTGTGTGTTGTGCGCGATGTTTTCTAAAAATTAAAATTCTGCGAGAGAAAATCGAGCGATTTCTCATTCAATGTCACTCTCTTTTTAAATATATATTTATACAAACATTAAAAAGCAACATGTCTTTATCTATTTTATTATTTTCGTCGACGAGCGTTAGTGTACGCTTTTTAGATTTTATTTTATTGATATGCGCGTACAAACAACACGATACATACAAAATACACATATATTCACACAACCGACAATTTATGCGCGCACAAATACGTCACACACCGATATCAGCGTTAGCGGCGGCAACGTCTTATCTCGAAACGGAGCGCAAAATTTCCACGTCGTATTTCGTTCTCTCGCGTCGAAACATATAGACGACGCTCGTACAAATGAACTTTGTGATAGCGGCATGAAAAAAGATGAGCCGCGATCTCGCTTTGGAATGCATAGAACTGATACATATACACGAGCTCATGAAAGCTTATAGGATGTGCAATATGAAGGACTATAAATAGCGAATAGGAAGATCCTGGTTGTCGTGCAATTTACTTCGCAAAATCGCGAGCAAGATTGTACCAGCCATTAATATCGGCGTTTCATTATTCACGATAATCCCGACTCTGATTTCATTAACCTAAATCTTCAGCAAGAAAGAGAGAGGAAGAGAGAGAGAGAGAGAGACGAACGGAACGAGAGACTCAAGGAACGCGTAAACAATCGCGAATGCACATCAGCAGCAAAAAACGAGAAGATGAATAATCCGCTTCCGAAATAATCGCGTTGTGAAAAAAAGCAATGCCGATCAATGGAGATATGCCAATCGAATGATATACTAGACGAGAAGTGGTGACGTTGCACGATCGAGTAAATAAATATGTGCGCGAGAGTTTAATTTATCCTTGCTATAAATGTAGCTTTAAAAAAACGGAGCTAAAACTGAAAAGTCGCGTCAGCTGAACGAGAGGAATTCGTTCTCGAAGAAAACGACGCGCAGACGGTGTAATTGCGACGGTTCATCTTTAAAACAGACATAGCTAAGATTAAAGCTCGTGACTCGAGAAGCAGAGAAAAAGAGAGAGAGAGAGAGAGAGAGAGAGAGAGAGAGAAGAGAGAGAGAATGGAAAAATACGAGCGCACTTGAACAGAAAAGTATGTTGTGGCGGCAAGCAATTATTGTGCATGTACACGCGCAATAGATGACCCCGGGCGCTGCGGAGCGACGCAGTTATCAATTGTTTTTCAACGGAGAGGAGCCCGGGAGGGATACCGATATAGGAAGTTCTCTCTTTGTTGCTTTTATCGTCTCCGACAAAAGGCTGCTACACTTTAAACAATTCAACGGAGACGGGCGGGCATACATGTGCCGTGTAAGCCGCGACGGATTACGATGCTATAGATGGTGACGCCGACGGGCGTTCGCAATCGGGCGGATGTAAACGGTGAGAAAACTATTGTACAGACGGTGAGACTCTGTGTAAGTGCGTGCATGTATGTGTGTGTGTGTGTGAGAGAGAGAGAGAGAGAGAAAAAAGAAAGAAAGAATGAGAGCGATTAAAGCACAAAGCTACTTAGGCACGCGAGAATACAAGTTGCGATCTGCTCGTCACCCCCGCGCTACAAGAAAGACCGAGTTATATTTGTCGTCGTATTTATTTGTAATGCAATACGTGTATTTTTAACACGCGTGCGTGCATTAGTTTCTCGATACTTAATAAACTTATTATTGTTATGTTGAATATTCTTTATACGCAAAAGTACAAACTGTCATTTTATTTTTTATTAATACAAAAATAATGGCGAAACAATTGCGCAGTTAATTATTTATATGAAATGAATCATATTTCAAACAGCGGACAACTAACACATAAGACGGCGGCGGAGACAACAGCTGCGGATCCCGAACGTTGTCGTGTTGTTTTGTGAGTCACGAGTGTGGCAGCACGTATGACGTTTGTAAGTAACGCGTGTGTCGCTTTTGTGACCGCTCGCGCGAAATGAGCTGTTTCGTGCGTCAATGATTTACCGCGCTATCGACAACATTGATAATTCCTGTCAAGAGAGTACGATCCGATTTGATGTCAACGTGTAATTGCGACAATTTTATATGTAAAAACGCGATGAGCATCGTATTTGTTCACTTTGACGCAGGTAGATATAATTCAGCTTGATTTGAATCAATCGAAGAGAATTCGCGCACTCTGTTTCAATCGATTTGCAAAATGCGTCAGTCGAGAAATAAAATTTAACTTGTCTTCGCGCGATACAGAGAAGGTTAAACGCTACCACCGCAGATCAAAGGTTGATCAGCTGATATATTTGAATGTCGTTTGCGTTACTTGAATGATTCAGATGGAAATTTACTTATTGATCAAAACAAGAACGGAAAATACATTATACACTTCGTTGTGCAAACTTGATAAAAACTTTGTCGAAAAATGTGATTAGGCGGATTGGCATCTCCGATTGTACACGCGCTTTCGATGCTACATAATGCATCATCCATGATTTCACGTGAATCACACCGTGACACGTTTGTGGATATGTGTAACAAAAGCGACTACTTGTGCGTACTCGAAGATTCGATTTGTGATATCAAAACTATCGTGTTCGTTTGCGCAATGAATACGATACTCTCTCCGATGTCTACTCCTTTGTTGTTGTTATCCGGTAAAATAATGCAGCGCGTTATTTTGTAAAATAAAGAACGATTGATTATTCATAAAAAAAACTATTAATTAAAATAAAAAAGATAATGTGCGATTTTCATAAATTGCATCAGATTAAATGCGAAAACTTATATTTCTCGATCTCGTGGCGAGATCCATTTTTCGATTCATTAACAACGGTTATTATTTATACGTCGTTACGAGCAAATAATGCGGTTGTGCGATTTACTCGACAATATGTAACGTACACGCACCGATAGATCCATAGGATGTACGTATTGATCGAACCACACCCGTATTTCCTACACTTTCTACCCGATTCCCTTCCTACCTCCCTATCCTTCGCACGCACGCGGATGTCAACGTAAATGCGTGCGCACAGAAATCGGCGTTGCGGATATACAACAGAGTTTAAAACCGAAAAGAAGACACAATTATACATATGAATCGTTCCGTGTGAATTCGTTCCGTTGACGCCTGTAACATTGTGTGATGAAAAAAGATGATATTATGTGAAAAAATCATCAATGACCTTGAAATGATTTTTAACAAAACATAATTAGAGAAATCTCTCTTTGTCATCGCCGGATGCACGTCCTTCTGTGTCACGTAACTCTTCTCGGTCGTTTCTTGTTACCATCAATAGCAGCAGAACCAATTTAAACGTTCATAATAAATGGGACAGCACATACGTACGTTATCGGGATGCATAGATATCTGAGCTTCATTGATAAATCAATCCAAGTCATTCGAAGCGAGAATTCAAGATACTAACAACCGGAAAAATTACATTAAGATATAATCAAATATGACTGATGGATATATTAAAACAAAATAAATCTCTTTATAATAATAATAATAATAATAATAATAATAATGCAGCCAATGTACAGAGAACAATACGTGCGAATTAAAAAATATCTCTTTATAATCTCCGCTGTAAATATAGACAGTGCGCGAATTGACCAGTGGTACATATATGTAAATTCCCGGCCTGTTCAGAATTCACGCAAACGAAAGCTCTCGTGTTTTTCGTGGAAGTGCATTTAATGAAAGACGCTGTTGTATCTGTCCCATCGAGTTTATCACGCTAATCAGGTCTTAATATCGCGTTATGGGAAACTTTGAACGGACACCATTCACTGGCACGATCCCAGTGTGTGATGCATTCTCTTTTCTCTCTCTTTCTCGTTCAAGCTATTCTTTTTCTCCAGCGTTTTGAGATGTTTCCATAACACTTGCCTTTCATCGCGCACATTCTTTCCCTATCATATTTCTTACATAAATGTCTTAAAAAAAAAAAAAAAAAACAGATATATAAGACGTTAAGAGAGAAAGCGTGTGAGAAATAAAAGGATGTTAAAAGACATCGGGTAAAACCATCCGTCTAAATAATATATTTATGTACACGCTCTTATATTTCTTAGTTTTCCTTTCTTGTATATAGAAAAAAAAAAAAACAACCAAACCCGCAAGGAAACAAATATACGCTGTCGTGTGTTTGAATTTAAAGTTGCAAAGAAGGTGAAGCGTTTAAATCGGCTGTTATATGAATAACATATTACAATATGCATTTCTCCAAGATCTTTTATCTCTTACAAAACTGGTCTCTCTCTCTCTCTCTTTCTTCGTTGTCAAGGATATTATACGGAATGAGGCGGTTCGTGTGACTCGGGACTTTATAAAGAGAATTATCTCCCCGTTCATATGAACGGAAGAACTGTTTTATTCAGAAGCAATCGCATATTTCCTTCAGGGAGAGGAGGGTGCGCGCGAGTAGAGATTCTGCATACAAGTAATCAAAGAAGAGATATATAGAAAGAGAGAGAAGCGAAAATTGCCCGTGAGTCGTAACTATTTATATATTGTAGTACATGTATATAAACACGCAAAACAAATCGCGAGAATATAGAAACAAATTGAAGTCCCCGCAAACGTTTGCGACTGTAGAAAAACGCACATACATACGTACAAGTGTACTTGAACATGAAAGATATCTCACTATTTTGTCGCAACGATATATATCTGATGAGTGAGTAATTGTACATTTTTAAACCATTAAGATAATGTGTTTTATAACGATACAATAATAATTAAAATGCACACGTATATAAAGATAAAGATACATTAAATGTTCAGTCTTGTTGTGTTGTAAGACGAATTTACACGGTTTTTTGAAATATAATTAAGAAGTGATCTGACATGTTTTTGAAAAAAAAAAAAAAAAAAACGATCGATACAAACAAAAAACTACGTTACTGACTCGCAGTGACATTTTATCGAAACGACAACTGCAAGGCACTTTATTTAGCCATCTATTCAGTCGAGCGCGACGACAGGGGTACGCGCAGTTTAACGAACGTGTCTGCAGCGGGGCAGACAAATTTATTCGTGCTGGCATTGGCAGCGTGATATCTTTCTATAGGGGCTATTTTCTTATCAATCCCAATAGCTTTTAAAACGTGACTCACGCGTAGAAAGGTCTGTACGCGGTCTTTGGCGAATCCGCGACGCGGATTTGCCGTCTCCCACCCATCGCTCGCGACTGTCTTTGACCGTTTAAGACAAAGCCAACTCTTTCGAGATGCTAGCACCGTTAATTTTTTCTTTTAATTTTGTTTTCATTAAAAAATACATTAGTCTGTCATTAATATTGTATCTCGTCAATTGTTGATTGGTCTAGTGCGTCACGATCGTTACAGGCAACGCCTATGTTTCGAAAATTGACAATTGATTTGGTTTGGAACGCCAGCAGCGCGCGAGGCAGCTGAAGGTTAAAGTACATACACGCGACGTATTGTCAATTCCACGAAAATACAAATTTCAAATTTCTTCGATGTGTTATTTTTCAAGTTAAGTCAAATCAAAGTCAATCTTGCGTATATGTTTCATACGGTTTTGAAAATATTTGTACACTTTTAATTTCGAAAATACTTTGTCGTTTAGTATTTCAAAAAACACACTTCAAGTAGCATTTTATTGAGAGAAAATAAATTTAAATAAATAACATTAAGAAAGATTTAATATATTATGATTATGACCACGCACACACAGACATACATATATATTACATACACGTACATTAGCAAATAAAATCTATTTGTGCCGCACCCTGTACGATTTTCGTCACAAAAGATCCATAAAAAGGCCACGTATTTTTTCATCGCTTTCTTTTATTCAATTAATTCGAAACATCCAAATGCGAATCTCGATTTTTGCTGAAACCACGCTTTGGTAAAAATGAAAAAAGTGCTAATATTAGCATTTGTGAATAAAAATAAAAATTTACATATATCTATTTTTGTAGTAAAAAAATCTAAAATCACAAAATTTAGAACTTATATGAAACAATAAAAAAGAAATAAAACGGATAATAAATTGGATTTCACTGGAAAGTTCTTTAAATACAAATAAACATATAATGACTCAGATAAACTCAATTATCTCTCTTCGAGAGATATCCAGTATTATGTACAAGTTCAAAAGCGATTCTCAGCAAGTTAATAGGGAAAATATGGCTCCTATCAGTGTTCATCTAACGGCTTGGTGGCACAGCCGTTAAACACATATATACATATAATACGCAGGAGGATACGCGGAGCGAAGCTCCAAATCGACTTTGGGAGTAGCGAAACAAGAGAGCAACTCACCAAGCTTTGACACGTATAAGGACCTCTCCCTCGCCGAGGGTAGGCTCCGGTTTTCTCAAAGCCTTGACACTTTTTAAGCCACCGAAACCGTTGAGTACGATCGCCCGCATGTCCTTCGGCTCCGGCGTGGGTTTTTCCTCGCCGTTTTCCTTCGGTTTCTCGCCCTCGTCATTCTCTTCGATTTTCTTCTCGTTCTCCTTACAATCTTTCGTCGGCTCCTCTTTGTCCGCTTTGACGGTCTGCGGCGGCGGCGACGTCGTCGTTGTTTCCTGCGGTGATTTCTCGTTCTCCGCGCTTGGGCTTGTCTCGTTCTTATCTTCTGCCATCTTTAAGTCCTTCTTTTCTTTGATGTCCTGAAACTGTGAGATCCTTGAAGCTTACGCGACGTCCCTTACTGTAATACTAAAGATCTTCGGTGACAGTAGTGAGAATACGTCAAGAAAAAGAAGCGTGCGTTGTATCGTCCACGATTACAAAGCGACAGACGGAGAAAAGTAGAAAGAGATAGAGAAAGAGAAAAAGGGAAGGGGAAAACGAGAGATAGAGAGATAGTGAGAGTGAGGCAGAGAGAAAAAATGGAGAAAGTGCCCGTCTGTGAGTAGTCTGCCGATCACTACAGTATATCGTTTACAATCCACAGCGTACGCACTCTACAGAAGCCGTCGTCGTTCTGCAGGAAATTCTGCGCCACTGTGCCAACCGTCTGAACGCTGCTCCGGTTTGTCGTGCCGGCTACGCCGGCCGGTAACGCGCGCAGTGTTGCCGTTGCTTAGCAACCACACGCCCCTGTTAAACAACCAATCGCGTGCCGTAGACTGCGCAACCCCCGTCGTCATTTGCCATATTTGCTCGCACATACATACGTACGTATGTACGTATATTAGATTTGAACGTATGTGTAACAATAGATTACAAAGAACAGGCAGATCATGATAAAATATGGTGCTCGTCAAGGACAAAGTGGTAACTTTTGATGTTTTTTTTTCTCATAAATATATAAGAAAGATATCGAATTAATTTGTATAAAAATGCGAGAGCGGTATAAGGAGAGAGAAGTCTCACTTATTTCTCCCGTCTTGTCTGCGCAATTGAATGCGCATCAGATATCTATATATCCCGTGTTACAAAATTCACTGAAAGTATTGAAAATCTGTAATACACGTGACGTGAACTATAGATATTGTCAGTACTGGCAGTGAATTTTGAAACACATCTATAATATATTAGACTTAGGCCAGTATTCATAATCTTGTATTTAAGATCGTCGTATTTAAGTTCATGTTGAAATATAGCCAATAAAACGGCCCGTATTACATCTTCAGATGAATTTAAGACAATCTTAAGATTGGACTCTCTATGAACACTTTAGACTGTTGACTATTATTTCTCTTATACAAGAGCTGCATACATAAAAACGCGAGATGCGTAAATTAAAAACAAATTAAAACAGAATTACTCTGATTGGCTAATTCTCCACCGTATGTTCTCTCTATTGCTCTATTCTGTTCCGCTATTTTCTTTTTCCATCGGGACGCACCCTTAAGCTCGTATTAGACTACGGATTAGGATTGAGATTGGATTGGAACTTGACTAATTAGAATAAAGGAAACCAACCTCAAGTTTAGTAAACTTTGCTTTGATTGATCACATTCCAATCGCAGTTCTAGTGTAGCACGATGTTGCCTCAGTGCAGTCAGAAAAGAATAGACCTCGGTCTCAGTCGATTAGTTCAAAAGCTCATGTTATACTATATAGATTGTCAGGTTTGAGAATTAACCAGTCAGAATGACTTAGTCGGCGAGCTGTGATTGGTTACTACGCAACCGCCAACTCGAACGATCTATAGTATAATACAGGCTTAAGACTGTCTCTATTGATGGCCTTTAACTATATAATCATGCTATAGTATTTTTATGTTGTAATGAAGATTAGTAGCGTCTCCGTCGCCTAAGTGAAACGAAGAAGACCCGAATATCTCCATTTATTAAAAAAACCACTATTGCACAGACGCGTGCAAACTGAAAAAAAAAAAAAAAAAAAAAAAACATTGCTGGCGGCGTCCTCAGGTTCTTCTTCCAAAAACATAACAGTCTTATTACATGTTATTTGATATTACACGATGAAAACATTTAGATTTGTCACAAGAGAAGAAGCCTCGAATACTTGGCAGTCTATTAGTTATACATAGTCAAAACTCAATGAGCAATTTCTCTTATGTCTCATCTATAATGACCGATATAATTAGTCAATTCCAGAGACTTGCGACTTCCGATCATTGTACATCAAGCCTACTGTGTCAACTAATTGAATTTTTTTGTGGAAATCTTCTTGCGTTAACTTTTGCTATTCTCTTTATGTAATTAAAAAATGCGGCTGACTATTGAACGCATTAGAAAAAACAATCGTGAAATTATTGTCTGTTTTTTAAATGTGTGGCTCGACCAAAGCAGTGAAGTACGTATATGGACACGCGCAGTGCATGTGCATACACATGTACACTATAGGCTGTAGCTTCGCGCGTTTATCGCAAGAGGTCTCCAATGAAACCGAATACAGAAATGTACACACACGCACGCGTGCACATGTGTATGCGCGTAAGAAAGAGAAAGAGAGAAAACTGTAAACAAATGTTTTTTAATTGATAACGATTCTCAAATTCATTGGTTCGGTAGATAATAAACGACGATAATACGACCTTACATATCTAGATTCACGTATTCTTTTAACATTTGCGATCAACCGCTTCAATCACTCTGTGTGTTACAAATATTACTCGAAAAAATATTCAGTTAATTTGAAGCGTTAAGTAACAAAGCAGAAACGTTATAACATGACACCAAAAATAGTTGTTGTCGGTTCTTGCATGATTGATTTTACTTGGTGAGTAAGAGTTTTTTTTACACATATGTATATAAAATATTGATTTGGTAATTATGTACAAGGCTCCTTTAGCTATCAATAATAAAAAATTTATGTTCATTCGATGTGGTTTTGAATAAAAGAATTCGGCAGAAAAAGCGTCGCTCTGTCACACAAAGCGAGTTATTAATCTTTAAAAATTACTGTTTAGGTTTAGGTTAAGAAATCTGTCAATGCAAAAGAACATAGAAACGTGAGCATGCGCTACAGTCACATGCGTATATGCGTTGTAATTTGTGGACTCCACATTTAAAGTGTAGTACATATGTAAGATATAAAATTGTGTTTTACAAACCGAACTGTAAAAAACGAGGTTTATAAATACACAAAAAGAGATTTTACATTAGAACTTTGCGTAATATTTTCGGCCTTGTTGATATTTTCTACATCTTCAAGTTTTCGTTATCTTGGTTTTATGAGCGCACAGGAGAACGGAGCACCGAAAATGACTAAATTTGCATTTTAAGCGACAGAAGAATTTGCTTTTAACTAAACGCATACACGGATACTATTACATCTGGAATGATATTGGAAACATTAATCGTTTCAAAATGATTTATATTTCCTAGAAGTTTTGATCTCAATCTTCTAGTAATTTACGATAAATTTGCGTGAAGAAAATTTTCGTTTCAATATATACCAAAGAATCTGTCATTAAAAAAATTAAAATCTGTTCCGATAGTTTTAGAACACTCTTATTATTTCATAAATGTTCTTGGAACAAAACTGCCCAATTCGAACGTGGAATTTACATAAATATTGTTTCATAACTATTGTTATCGTTACTTTGTAGTTTTTCTCCACGATTGCCCAAACGCGGTGAAACATTAATCGGGACTAAATTCGAAACGAAATACGGCGGCAAAGGTGGTAATCAATGTGTTGCATCTGCTAAACTTGGTGGATCTACGGCACTTATTGCCTCAGTACGTTTTCCTTTATTTTTCCTTTCTATGCGCTTTCTCTTTGTGTAATACAAACAATTTCTAATAATTGCTATCTTATAAAGAAAATCGTTTTTTAAATCGTTTATTACAGTTGGGATATGATACTTTTGCCCAAAAATATCTCGAAATTTTGAAAGAGGAAAAAGTAAACACTTCTCACGTCAAGATACAGAATGATAAGCACAGTGGCACTGCTCATATTACTGTTACTGAAGACGGTACATGTTGACAATATTACTTTTTATTTTACAACACTCTAACTAACGCACACAAACGGAAGTTTGATTGGTATGTACATTTTGCAATTTGAGATAGAAAGGAATTAACGTCTTCTAACTTAACGTCTGAAAGTTTACATAAGGTTTGAAAGTCAAATTCCGTATATTCGCATTATACATATCTGAATATCTTAAAAGAACAAAAACAATTTATTAATTTAATTTTGATTTGATTTTTATTCCGAAATAGTTTGCTCATCGTGTGTGCGAACTATTTCGGAATGTCTAGTCTAATCTTGATGTACTTATATAATATTCGCAGGAGAGAACAGTATCGTCATCGTGTTAGGTGCAAATGAGTCATTAACTCCGAAACATGTTGAGTCCGCTGTTGACGTGATTAAGTCCGCTAGCGTTTTGTTATGCCAATTTGAAATCCCGTTGGAATCTGTACGATGTGCGTTAGAACTACATCACGGTCATGGTTGGTCTTTTATGTGCATATATATATATGTATATAAATCTTATTCCGTAAAATTTGCTGTACGTGAAAATATCAGTTAAGCCTGAACAACTTTTGCTTTCTCCAAGAGAACTAGACTAGTATCATTTAATTATAACTTACGATATCGCGGTTCTGAGCTATATAAACATGTTCCCACACAAGCGTAACAACATATATATAATACGTGATAGGACTTTCGATTGTCAACGGAGCGCCCGCGCTGGAAAACCCCGATCCAAAAATTCTACAATTGTGCGACATTTTCTGCATTAACGAAACGGAGGTACGTATACAACTGGCATTTCTAAACAAAAATAAAAAACACAAATATATTGAAAAGTTTTTAATAACTCTTAAACCTAATTATCGGTACAAGCACTTTTTGTTACACCGGCCAGTACACGAAAAGACATTGTCCGACATTTTGTAGGCAGAAGTTATGACGGGGATTCAGCCGGTCGAGTTATCGAATATACAGCACGTGGCGGACAAGCTCCTAGATAAAGGATGCAATGCGATTATTATCACTCTTGGGCCGCTAGGCGCCGTATACGCGTCGAAAACGAACAGAAATGTCATACGAATTTCTACTGACAAAGTACAACCCGTAGACACTACCGTACGTATTATTGATATCGGATTAGAATTGCTGTGTTCACACATTGTGCATATGTTATTTAAAAATACGCTTAGTCTTTTTTATAATAACATTCTCCTTGAAAAAAACCTGTCTCGCGAAAGTTTTTTAAACTGAATAGTTTTAGATTAAAATGATTGATAAGCGTTTTTTTAAAGTCAAAAAAAAAAGACCAGACTATTTTTTCAAGGATATAATTTAAGTCACGTGATTGAAATTTATATACCTGTGCGATACTTCTTTGCTAAATATTATTTTTGCGGTATATATCATCATCGCAGATTAATGCCGTATATCGTAGATTATCTCATCAAAATCTCTGTTCTTTTGTTTGTAAACAGAAGAACGATGTATAATGATATACGGAGTGAGTCATTGTTGCATGTATATTCTTAGTACCGTCGGTATAATCGAGACTTCGGAAAATAGAAGCTCGGATAATTGAAAAACCGTATAATAGAATTCCAGTTAATCAGGATTCCACCATACTATTGTTTTCTTTTTTTTTTTTGTGATCTTTCGTCGGATCACGACGAAGTGTAATGGGTGACTAATTAGTCCGCGATGTTTCGAGTCGATAAACCGCTTAGTGTTTTTTTTTTTTTTTTTTTAACTAAAATGAACAATAAAATATTCAACATAAAATTGTCTCGATCAAGTAAGAAATATCGTGTATATATCAGGGTGCCGGAGATGCATTTTTGGGCGCACTCGCGTACTTCAAGGCGTATCATCCGCAACTGTCAATAGACGAATACATCAGAAGATCCTGCATAATCGCTACGCGCTCCGTTCTTAAATACGGCACACACGCAAGTTTTTCAACGAAAAGTGACCTCCCAGCAGATTTGTTTCAATAAATAGAGACTAACAATAAATAGCGAACGATATACTTAAAAATTCTATGTCGTATATGTTTGCAATACAATGATAGAAATTGCTTTCACAATGTGGATTTCTGTACAAGCTCATATTTTACAAGTCCGTTTCCTCTTTCCATATATACTTTCACCTGTTCGTCTTTATTACACACATTGACATTGAAATATATAGATAAAATGTGGAGGAGGAGCTCTCCTTGATTTTATATAACAAACATACGGTGACCTCCTCTCGCCACTAGTCAGAAAAACGAATCTAAAAGGTAAGTAATCATTTTTCTGACTACCTGAACAGGCTGACTACCTGCCCTACAGTTTCAAGTAAATGAATTAAGTGTCTGGTTCAAATGTGACTAGTAAATCAAAATTGATGATTTAAATATAAAACTTCATTTTTAAGGAGTTCACGTGATACGCTCTGACTAAAATATCGACTATATGCATACACATATATATAAGTACGGGCCTAAAGTTTAAACGTTAATTCGGTCTAAAAGTTAAAACGGTAACTCAAACGTTAGTTAAAAATAACACAATTGCATTATAAATCAACAGAATTAAAATAAAGAATACGTTCACACAGTCTCGAAAGCAAATTATTCTATACATATATCTTATATTCGATAATAAATTAATACACATAAAAACATTTTTTAATTGTATTGAAAACCGGTCTCATTGAATTCGACGTAATTTTTTTGCACTTCGTCGTTGAATATATCGATTTTTTTCTAGTTGCCGAATGAGATTTGCATAGGAATTCAAAGACATGATTTAAAAAACATCAACAACATTAGGACAAACATGATATGTTGTAGAAAGATTTTATTATTAATTATTATGCAAAAAATCAGTAAGTTAAAAAAATTTATATTTATTAAGAAAAATTGGTAATTTGTTGATACATCGCTATCACGGCGCGTGTAAAAAACTTATTCCCAAGTGACTTATAAATGATGAACTTAACAGAAATTAAAAAAAACTGTCTATCAAAATTTTTTAAAAGAGAACCAGTGGAAGTAATTGAGACTAGATAAAAAAACGTTGTAAATTATACATACAACACAAAATGGTCTTCACTATTTCAAGAATTTGTTGAACCAATTGTTAGTCATTCATTTGCTTTTTTTTACATATTCTGAAGCGTTTTATACTTTAAAAAGATCGACGACTCTTTATTTAACACAAACATAAATAAATTTTGTGTATTTTGAGAAATATTCAGTATAAATTACTAAACAATACTACACAATATTTTTTCTTTAATTATAAGTAACGGGATTCCGTCAAATTTCAGAGCGCGAGAAGCGACTCGACTCAAAATATTAAGCAACTCTAAATTCAGTAAATATTAATAAAACATTTCTACTTGATCGGTGTTTCACCGGTAATTCCCGCGAGAAGTGCGTGAAGTTCTGCGAACAGGTGGATCTGCAGCAATCGGCGGCAACATTTACGCTTCAAGCGATTTGCGTATGCGACGCATGTGCGCACAGGATAAGATAGTATGCCGAAATTGCAGGAAAATGTTTGATGCGTGCGTCACAAGGGAAAGGTGTTGCAAGTTACTTTCAAAGTAAAATCTCTAGCACTTATGCCACCGCGTAATCGTCACTGTCGTCACTATGCGTATTACTATTACACTAGGCTTTCAAATCAGATAGACAGGATGGCAAAATGCTTTACGCGCGCACCGGATTCCGCGAAGTACGGGACTCGGTCTCTCCGTGTTTCATTATTTTTCCGCTACAAGTGAGATGTGACGTCGAACAACTGGTATACTCTGGTAATACTAGAATTTAAGGGAATATAATCAGCATGTCGACAAGTTCGTCTGAGATGAAACGAACGAAGTAGCTCGTGACGTCAAAGAGAGGAGGGCCCGAGGTGGCACATAAGACGTGCAGACACAGGAGAGGGGGGATTAGTCACATCATCTTGTACATTAGCACGAGCGAGCCCCTGTTAAGTGGGGCAACACCACCCACGTGCACGTTCACGGGCAGGATAAAAAATCCTTCGGCGATCAGGGAATATTCAGTTTTGAGCAAACCATTAAACGAGACGATCGAAGAAGACTGACTATACGACTCCTGATCCCTCGATCGACAGGTCGCAACCGTGAGAGATCGCATTTGAAGTCGAGTGATCCACATCGAGTCGTCGGGAATTCACAAACCGGCCGAAAACGCTTGCGAGAAATCGCACGCTCGACTGGCTTCTCTCATATCACAACAGAGAGCTGGTTGAAAAAACGATTAGTTTGATTTACATCACCCGTGACGATCGCTCGGAATTTGGAAATTAAGAAATTTCGGACGCTTTGCCGATATATTTATATCTTTTTTGACATCTCTCACGTCGAGATACATACCACCGATTTTATCGAGTTTCAAGGGAGACTCGATAGAGAAATCTCAGAAGACGATCTATTTTCGGTGACGAAATAATCGATCGATGAAAAGAACTTGAACTCACGCCGATTTGTTTGCTGTTTTCTCACCTGCAATCGTACGACCTTAGTGTCATTTACGATTGTGTAAACAATCAACGGAGATTATTCGAAAGTATCCTCGAAGACGAATTGGTAAAGTGAAGAAACACGTGAACAGACAAGAATTTATTTTAATCCGATAAAGCGACTGCATCAGCGATAAAGATTGCCGACTTCTGCAAGGAGTCTAAACTTTCGTGCGCGTTTTCAGTCTAGATAGACATAATGCTGATATTCAACAGCGTCGGATTGTGCCTGTTTGGTTTTTTCGCCTGTGTAATCGTCAGCATGCCGATCGTCCAAGGTCGTAGTCCGAGACGATACCATCGACACCATTACTCTCATCCGAATTATTACGATTTCGCTGAATCGCACAATTCGGAATATCACGATTCCTATGAGCCTGCGGAAAAACGTGGATATCCTCGGGATGTCTTAAACCATTTTTCCGGAAACGAGGAACAAATATTGTTTCCTCGTCGATACAATTTGCGAGATCTCATACAACATAGGCAGAAGACGCGCAACATCGACGCATCATCTTCCATGAAGTTAGTCGCCAGACGAAAACGTCACAATAAACACGGCGGCAAGTTGGCCTATCAAGTCGGCTTCACTGAGCCAGACAGAGAGATCACGCAGTGGCAACACGATCGCGACATGGAGAAACAACTTCGTCTCGAGTTTGAGGTGAAAGAAGCGCAGAACAAGTCCATCTGCAACTACACCGTGGAGACGATACCGGACACCCGGGGCTCTCGGGTACCGCGAAATTTGGAGAACGTGAAGTGCAATCACATCGGCAGCGACTGCCAGGGTAGCGCCTCCTGTTGCGTGCAGACGTACAAGAACATCGAGGTGTCTTACGGGGACGGCTACAGAGAAACGATGAAGATCTACGTGGGTTGTGTGTGCGCCAATAAAGAATTCGGTAAGGGTTTACTCTCTAACGGGTTTACAGAATCTCCTTTGCCTATTCACTACTGACATTGTGGGGGCGTCTTCGGAATAAACGACGACTCGTCCCGGTGATAACAATTGTCTTTCGCAAGTCTCGATCCGGTGCGAATTGAGCAGAATAGAATATGAACATGTTTTAATATAAGTAACTACAATTATTAACATTTACATTCATTTTGTGACAAAAACAAATAGGCATCGCGTACAAACACGCGCAAAATGTAACAACTTGAAATGTGTGTCAGGGCATTTTTTTTTAGCCAACATTATTTATTTATTTATTTATTTATTTATTTAATTGTATTATGTATTTATTCCTGATTGTTGCATGTGTAAAACGTGTAAGAAAAGTGACATATAATCTGTTTCGCATATAGACACAGATTAACACATTATCGAAACAAAAAGAAAAAGTAGGACACGTGCGATAAATTTGAATGATGGTACAATATATAAATAGTTATAACCGTGCGGTAATAAAAAATGTATGTCAACATCGAACATATCGAATCTTTCGTAATTGATAAAATTTGCACGTAATCGATAAATATGTGACCAATTTTCACAACTCTCTCTATTAAAATATGATATGTGCGAAAGTGTGTAGTCTTTTAAGCAATTTTAGATCATTATCACGTTTTTTAAATGTATACGCCATATGTAATAAGAGAAGAACAGTATTATATAAGTCTGAAACAATCTTGATAATTTAGTATCGATGTAAGTTTATAATACGTGTACTTTTTTTTACTTTTATGATGAATTGTGAATCCAACTGTGAATTTAATCAAAAGCAAACAGTATTAAAGCAATTTTTCTTTAACTCTGTGTTCTTTATATTTCTCCCACACAAACATATCGTCACATCACAAGTGTAAAACTACATTCTATATAAATTTTCTTATATGCTTAACATGTTACATTAACATTTCAAACCTGATGTTAAATATTTTTGTACGAGAATGAAAACACACTTGTCTGAACATAAAGAAAGAATATAATAAACTGCAAATTCGTTGAAGAACTTGACATAAAATAATAAACAAAACTTTATACATATATTTATATGAAAAAAATTACTATTATTATTATTTTTTTTTTTTTTTACTTTTTTCTTCCGTGTTTCAAAACACAATTAATTAGAATAGAACGTGCGTGCAATATGTATGTGTCACACACAGAGTGTAAAAACCGCAATTTGTGACATTTTGAGGTTTTTCTTTCGCGACAAACCGATTCGAGACTTGCTTCTTCACGAGGATAATTAGAGTCCTATTAGAATTTCGTCGCGTTTATCGTGAAAATGTTTCCTAGATTGCGCAAATCACCTGGCAAATGTGACGGAGACAGTCGGTCTGTGACACACGCATACATATCACTTTTTCAAGTGGAATCTTCTTCGAGATTACTCCATATCCGGCAATCTCTGACGTACAGGACAAGGAGTTCTTGTACGGTGATTCACGCAGAGAAATTCCTTGTACACACGCGTCTTCCGAGAGGGACTTCCCGAGAGAGATTCCAGGCTCCAGCAACCTGTTCGCGATCGAACCTCAGCGCAATTCGTAATAATCGTATCATATAAGCGTCCCACATAGAGATAGCGTAATACACTGAGCAAGTTGCAAGTAAAGGACGGAAAGAGATGGGAACTGAGATACAAAAGGGTCGAAACGCGCGGGGAGCCTCGAGGAGGGAAGTATAGATCGACAGTGGCGGAAGATGTACGGCTTAAGATATTGCAAGAATTTCCGATGTGTCATCGTAAGGAAATGCTGAATTTTTAGCCCTCCTTAGTCGCGACTGACGTTTATGCAAAGATATTGCAACGGCGATAAGAAGATATACCAAAACCGCAAAGAGAGATAGAGACACTGTGTCTACGCACAAATATTATTAATAGTACTGTGAATTACTACTTATTGTGAAATCTTCTTCACGTGGAGAAAGTTAAATATAACAATTATACATACACATATATGTATACATATATTACGTATACACGTATTGCACCTAATAAAGAAACGTAATCAAATAATTCGATTTTTCCGTCCTACGTCTAATTTTTTGCCATTTTAAACTCAAATAAAATTCAATTCGATTCTGAATTATCTCACAATTAAAAAGAAAATCAATAACACATGTTAAACGAGTTTGGGTGAGTGCCTAAAGATGCCACTAGTGCACAATGGCCAAATTTAGTTGGACACTCGAAGATGTGCTACAAAACACATAAAAGGACAAATTTCGTAAGCGCGTCAATAAAAAAAAAAAAAAAAAAAAAAAAAAAAAATAAAAAAAAAAAAAAAAAAAAAAAATATCTAAACCGGAAAAAAAAAAAAAAAAAAAAAAAAAAAAAAAAAAACACAAATAAAACGTTTAAAACAAGAAAATAGTTTTCTCATGAAGCTTCCTCGCGAAGTTGCTTATTTCTTTCAGATTACAGTCATGCGAATGCCGTGTCGAAAACTAAATCTAATCCTTGTCGTCTGCTGCATTATCTCTGGTGTCTGAATAGAGAAGTGTAACTTTCTCACGCCCATTCTGTATAATCATACATACACAGGTATTCTCTGCAGGTGGCCAAGGGACAGTTTTTATTATTAGAAGGTAAAAGGTAAGTGAGTGATTCAGATAATCGTCTAGACACTAAAATGTTTAACGTCTACCATAACGTTAGATAAGGGATAAACGGCATGTCTAACGCTAATTCTCGAATCATATTTTACATCTTTTGAACACTATCGTATACATAGATGTGTGTGCACGTATATATGTATAAATGTGCATATATATATTACGTATATTTTGTTTTATATATATATATATATATATATATAATGATAAAGGGAAGGGATAATGGGAGCTTGTAGGGACGACACGTTTAAACTCTTCTACAATTTTTTTAAAGTGTTTACAAGTGTTTTTTAAAGTTACCAAATGGCCTTTCTTTCTCTTTTTAAAATTACAAATTTTACAAGTAATTCTTTAATTTCACCATAAACCCTCTCAACATGTTGACCGCGAACTTCTTCAATTTCTTCAATTTCAACATTTCGATTTACAATTCGCATAAGAATGCGAAAGTGACATTTAAGTGATAAACGTTTTGTCGAGACAAAGGTCAACGGGTCTACAAATTAGTCTGCCGAATAATTTTCGCGTCCTATTTTTGTTCCAGACGTTCTTTGGAAATGCTAATTTTAACAATAAACACGTAACACACGCACATTATATTCGCTGAGAAAAAGACATTATGCTAACGTTTTTTGTGCGCTCGTCCAAAAATTTTCGTCTAAATTGGCATAAATGTAAGTTTAATACTTCTTTGTATGGTCGCGTCCGCACGGAATCTCGGGTACCTTGAAAGCCGGTTTAACGGGTAAATCACATTATACGAAAACGATTCTATATATCGACGCGTTGGTCCTCTTAATTTAATCTCTAATCTAACCTACCTTAACTCTCTCACTTAAACCAGACCCGTTCCGTATCGGCGGTTGTCAAAGTCACCGCTGGTTCGTTGACATTTGCGTGGGATGATTGCGCGGAGCGGCGCTTGATCGAGATGTTAACAGGCGATAAGACACATGTTGAGGGATGCCCCTCGAGAAAAAGTGTCCCGCAAATCGCTGATTTGCATTGTAAAGTTTACTTCCAAGGTCGCCAGTAAGTCGTAGAAAAGTATTACTTGCTAAATAGGCTTCTACGCGGCTGTCATAAATGATTGTTACGTGTGCGGAATAACGAAAAACCTTTTACAACGTATGCGAATGATATCGAACGAACATAAAAAAATGTTCCCGCGTGATATTATTATACCCTGACATGAATTATTTGAATAATTCAAAGAAAGAGAAAAAACTGTTTTCTCTTTCTGTAAAAAAAATAGAAAAACAATTGTAGAGAAAGATGTGTTTGTAGAATTAACTGTAACAAGTCTGTAGCAAAAGTTTTGAAATTTAATGTATATTGATATGTAACGTATGTGACGTTCTGCGAGACAAATATTTTGTATTTAATAATCAAGATCTTGTTAGCAAACTATTTTTTCCAAATAAGCCATCTAGAAATTGACCCATGTACTGACAAGTCTTGAAAACAGAGAATGTTTTGAAAGACACTATTCGAAGAGCACAAATAACGCACAAGAAACATCTCTCCGAGAGCAGAAAGAGAGAGAGAGAGAGAGAGAGTCCGCAGCCGTTGAAGAGATCAGATCGGAGTAGTAAATAGACAACGTGTGACATTAATGTTAAACATTATTAATATTAATATGAACTATAAGAGCTTTATCAAATTTATTTTATATTTAAATAAATTTATTTATTGCAATATCTACATAATTAGCTATAAAATTATTGTGTGTACACTTGAAAGAGAATTTTTGTTTGTTAAAATGAATTAATTTAATGAATAAATTTATCATAATAAAATAAAAACGTAACCATACGAGTCAAATAAAATCGCCAAAATGAATTTTGAACGGTATCGGTAGGATAAAAAAAAAAAAAAAATAAAAAAATATGTCACAATCATATTATTGAATAAAAGCGTTTTTTGAAACGGTCTTTTGTCTGAGATGTAGTTTCTTTCTCTTCGAATATCGTAAGAAATTTCTATTTAATATTCTGTTTCGGCCTCAATTAAATACGCGATGTATCCTGTAATCTCGCAGTGTGTGAAAGACAAGCACTTGCGCGTAGTTTTAATGCCGTTTTTAATTTTCTCTCACATATAATATGTGCATGCATAATGTCAACGAGAAATAAATTTGACATATTCAAATCTGATTAGAATGCAAACTAAATATATAATGTTAAAAATCGAAATTTACAATCACATATCATCATTCTCAATTGATTCTGAAAGACCGCGGAGCTAATAAAATTTTTTTTTTATTTAAACACTTATTTATTAAGAAGTTTTACATGTGTCGATAATTGGCGGGGTTGCAGTATTACAGCGATAACGGAAATCGTCGATAAATTGCTCCAACAAGCCAGAAAGGCAATGAGAGGGATGCAACGGGAATGAACGCGGAGTCGCGATCCCGGAGCAGCACTTTTTTCAGGCAACGATACGACTACGAGAGACGGAGGATCGTGGTGGAACCAGGCAAAGCTCAGGAGGACGTAATCGGCTGAGGGGATTTCGTATTTATCGTATACCTAAAACCATCTCTCTTTCTCTCTCTCTCTCTCTCCCTTTCCATCCTACCTTTCTCTAACAAGCACACTAGTTGGTGAACGAAAAGTCCACCGGTGCGTAGGATATATACGCGCGTGTGTCAGTGCGTGCATATGGAAGAAAATCCGACGTGAAAACTGCCGAGAGTGAAAGAGAGAGAGAAAACGAGAGAGAAGAGAAAGAAAGAGAAAGAGACAGTGGTATGTATTTCAAAGACTATCAATCATTGGTAACCTGTAAAGGATCTAATTATCCTGGAGCTGACTGGGCTCCGTTCACTGCACCCACCGCTCGTCTTGTCCATCCCCGGTTGGCGGTGGTGCCTCTACCTCCTCCTCCGTGACTGTTCCCGTTTCCCTTTACCCCTTTCGGGAGGCCCCCCTTTTTCGCTCTAGCAACCACCCTTTTTCACAGGAGAGCAAGACAGACAAGGACAGAGCGACAACGAAGGAGGAGACGAGGAGATCAGGCAGAGAGCGGAGAGAAAGAGAGAGAAAAAGAGAAGAGAGTAAAATTAGAAAGAGAAGAACTGCAATTGCGTGAGTGCGAAGAGTGAGCTTTTTAATTTCTTTCTCTGTCTCTTCCCCCCTCTTTTTCTGTCTCTTTCCCTCCTCTTTCTTTCTCTCTCTCTCTCTCTCTCTCTCTCTCTCTCTCTCTTTTTCTCTCTCTTTCAACCCGTCTCTCTGAAGAGAAAGATAGAGAAAGAGAGGATGGCGGGTGTCGGTGCGCCGCCTTTTTTTCGTACACGCCAACCCCATGTCTGCCGGCATCTATGTGTACGTACATACGTGTGTACACGTACGTGTGGGGTAAATGTATAATAGTGAGTGCGGGTAGTTGGTTAGGTGGCCTGGTCGATATATCAGGGCTCCGCTGCAGCTGTCTGTCAGGCTCGCGAACTCAGCGCTAGACGACGGGCTCGGGGTCTAGAGAAAAAAGCGACCGGCTCGTTTCGTCTCTCTTTTTCTCCCTTTCTCTCCTCTCTTCCTCTCTCTTTATAGCATCGCTTCTCTTTACTCTACGTTCTCGTCCTCGACCCCTCTCCTCACCGCTCCTCCACTCCTTCTCTTTTCTTTTTTTCTCTTTTTTCTTCAACCTTCGTTCCTCACTCTTTCCCTCTCTTTCGTTGCTTCTGGGTAATTTTTCATCGGTGCAGCGGACGACAGAAGCGCCGCGACGGCAGAGGCGGTGTTGCCG